GAATTCTGATCAGGCATTAGCTCCGCCTCCTCTTCTTCTTCTTCTTTTTCAAGCTAAGGACCCAAGATCCGCGTTTCTCTAACAGGGCTTCAAAAGAGGGGTATGAGCAGTACGAGGCATGGCTACAACGGGGGATCTGTTTGGTATTTTAAGCAAAAAACTTCACAGACATGTTTTGTATAGGTATGGCCCTACAATACAATTTTCCAATATAGCATAATAGGTCCAGAGAGTACTTCTTCAACCACGGGTCATACTTTTTCAGGGACAATTTTTCTGTTGCAGTTTAGAAAGATTGTTTTATGCAAGAGGCACTTATTGTGTGTGTATAGGGCTGCGACATTTCATCATCAATCTATAAAATGTCAGAAAATAGTGAATACATTCCATCCCAGTCATTAAAAGTCCATGATAATGTATTTTAATGTCTGTTCTGAAATGGGTGGTTTTGCAGAATAAGTGTTTTTCTCGATGCTAATACTTTTAAACGTAGTAAAGCAAGAAAAGCCATTTTTTACATCACTGATTGTTATGAGATCTACCGTAACCTGGCCCTCTTTTGCCCCTGTACTCTTCCTCATCTGGCCCATTATTACACCGTGGAGAGAACAAACAGTTTCCCTGCTTAATAATTCACATCACTTTCATCTGATACTCAGTTACCATGGGCAATTTAGTAGTTGAATAATTTTGTGAAAAATTCATTTATTATCGCCGTGCGTTATGAATCTGGGGAGACGGAGAGTGGTGGAGGATTTTTTAAATTGCGTCTGTGGAGCGAGGGATCCGAGGGAAGGTAATGTGTTCTAATGTTCTCAGCCATATGCATTGTTTTCAGGGCTCATCGGTTTTACATCGATTCCCACTGAAGTGTTTAATTGCATCATGAATATGATCTAATTCTGTCCTTTTCACTGAAACTGGAGCACTCTCTGCAAATGATGTACGGCCTTGACAGCGCCACATCAGGATGTATTTTATATGGAATGTAAATTATAGTGTTAAATTAGCCTGGAAAGATAACTAGCTGGCACGGGGGAATGGACTCAACAGTTTAATTTAGTGTCAAAAGGCCGTGAAGGGATAAATCTCCTCTCTCTCCCTCCTCTCTCCATGATGCCATATTAGGCTTTAATCATTCCTTTTTTCTTGTAATACCGCTTGTTTCTCACTGCTGCCTAAGGAGTTCTGCAGAACTGCGTTTCTCGCACTTTGACTGCTCATAAATGCTTCACAGGGAAGACAATGTTTGCACCTTTAACTTTTACAGCTCCATGAAAACAGCTTTTCCCCGAAAGGTCCCAAAATGGCTGTTTCCCAGTAGCTCTGAGGGAGGGTTGATGGCTGATTTTGGTCAGTCTTGTGAAACAGATGGAGGTCATTAGCTTTGGTTTGGATGAACCTCACTGGGTTTCCTGGCCTTTAATATATGCATTTTCCACCGAGGCTGTTCAAGGGCCAATTGCAAACTAGGTTTTGTGTTTCATTTGCAGAGGTATTGAAATATTGGTTCAACTCTGGCACTAAACGTCATCACGCCCAACATCAGCCGCCTTTAGCTTAGCGGTGGTGACGTGAAGTCATGTGACCATGCTGTAGTTCCTTTATAGCCCAACATTAGCCGCCTTTAGCTTAGCGGTGGTGACGTGAAGTCATGTGACCATGCTGTAGTTCCTTTATAGCCCAACATTAGCCGCCTTTAGCTTAGCGGTGGTGACGTGAAGTCATGTGACCGTGCTGTAGTTCCTTTATAGCCCAACATTAGCCGCCTTTAGCTTAGCGGTGGTGGCGTGAAGTCATGTGACCGTGCTGTTCCTTTATATACTAACATTAGCCACCTTTAGCTTAGCGGTGGTGACGTGAAGTCATGTGACCGTGCTGTAGTTCCTTTATAGCTCAACATTAGCCACCTTTAACTTAGCAGTGGTGACGTGAAGTCATGTGACCGTGCCGTAGTTCCTTTATAGCCCAACATTAGCCGCCTTTAGCTTAGCGGTGGTGACGTGAAGTCATGTGACCGTGCTGTAGTTCCTTTATAGCCCAACATTAGCCGCCTTTAGCTTAGCGGTGGTGACGTGAAGTCATGTGACCGTGCTGTAGTTCCTTTATAGCCCAACATTAGCCGCCTTTAGCTTAGCGGTGGTGACGTGAAGTCATGTGACCGTGCTGTAGTTCCTTTATAGCCCAACATTAGCCTCCTTTAGCTTAGCGGTGGTGACGTGAAGTCATGTGACCGTGCTGTAGTTCCTTTATAGCCCAACATTAGCCACCTTTAGCTTAGCGGTGGTGACGTGAAGTCATGTGACCGTGCTGTAGTTCCTTTATAGCCCAACATTAGCCACCTTTAACTTAGCAGTGGTGACGTGAAGTCATGTGACCGTGCTGTAGTTCCTTTATAGCCCAACATTAGCCTCCTTTAGCTTAGCGGTGGTCTTGTGAAGTCATGTGACCGTGCTGTAGTTCCTTTATAGCCCAACATTAGCCTCCTTTAGCTTAGCGGTGGTGACGTGAAGTCACCGTGCTGTAGTTCCTTTATAGCCCAACATTAGCCTCCTTTAGCTTAGCGGTGGTGACGTGAAGTCACCGTGCTGTGGTTCCTTTATAGCCCAACATTAGCTGCCTTTAGCTTAGCAGTGGTGACGTGAAGTCATGTGACCGTGCTCTAGTTCATTTATAGCCCAACATTAGCCTCCTTTAGCTTAGCGGTGGTGACGTGAAGTCATGTGACCGTGCTGTAGTTCCTTTATAGCCCAACATTAGCCACCTTTAGCTTAGCGGTGGTGACGTGAAGTCATGTGACCGTGCTGTAGTTCCTTTATAGCCCAACATTAGCCTCCTTTAGCTTAGCGGTGGTGACGTGAAGTCATGTGACCGTGCTGTAGTTCCTTTATAGCCCAACATTAGCCTCCTTTAGCTTAGCGGTGGTGACGTGAAGTCACCGTGCTGTAGTTCCTTTATAGATTGTGTAGATTGAGTGGTTTTAAGGTTTGTGTAGGTTGTTGTAGACTTGGTGTAGGTTGTGTAAGTGTGTAGATTGAGTAGGTTGTGTAGGGTTGTGTAGGGTTTGTGGAATTGAGAGATGTAAAAAGTGGAATTGGGAGTTTTTATTGGAGGAAATACAGTGTTTTATGTGGAAATTGAGAGGTTATTAAGGTTAAATTGAGTCGTTTATGGTGAAAGTGAGAGGTTTTTGTTACGTCGTCTTGTTGAATTTGGTGTGTTTTGTTATGTTGGGATTGAGTGCACTCTGAGAAATGACTTCATCTTTTATTGTAAGATGGTTAGATTTTTATTTCCATGTTCGGAGGTGATTCACAACATAGGAGATTTTATGGTTGAATTCAGGAATCGAATACAAGAATTTCCTAAGAAACAACAAGACCTTACAAAGGGAGGAGCGGTGACATTCAGAGAGACCTATTTTCACACATTATAGGTCAAACGATTGGAGGAGTA